CGCCTTTGAAGATAACGAGGGCCAAAGCACTTCCAAGACCTTGGAAACCTTCTAATTTGAAATTCTTCTATTCATTAGATGTGATTATTTTTGGCCGATGTCATCCAATAAAATCTTTTCCCTTTCTTGAAAACACATATGATTATAAAGTTACATATGGTGTTTTTTTGAGACATGAATTAATGAGAACCCAAGTAGAACTCAGGTTTCACATTGGGCAGAGAGAAACAGAGACACTTAATTCACTTGTTGAAAATTTGTAACAATTTACAAAGTTGGATGTTAAGCTGATTCCTTATCTTCACTTGTTGAATTTGTAGCCAATTTTACAAGTCGAAGTTAAGCCGAGATATTCCTTATCTTCACTTGTTAAAATTGTAGCAATTTACAAGTTGGAACTTTGATGATCTTTTCTCTTCACTTGTTGAAATTTGTAGCAATTTACAAGTCGAAGTTAAGCAGAGATTATTCCTTATCTTCACTTGTTGAAATTTGTAGCAATTTACAAGTTGAAGTTAAGCCGAGATTATTGTTTCTCTTCACTTGTTGAAATTTGTAGCAATTTACAAGTGAAGCCGAGGTTATTGCTTAAACCCTTATAGCAATATATAGGTTGCCTAAACCTAAAGAAGATGCTTAACACTTGTTGAAATTTGTAGCAATTTACAAGTTGACGTTAAGCCGACATATGATCATCTGTTGAAATTTGCAACGATTTACAGGTTGAGTAAAAAGCTAAGTATATTGTTTAAACACTTGTTAAAATTTGTAGCAATTTACAAGTAGGTCATTGCTTAAACACTTGTTATGACTTGAGAAAAGTTTATAGTATATGTTTTACACTTGTTGAAATTTATGAAAAGTTTGCAGGACAGTATCTTGCCGAAGTAAAGCTTGTAGTTATTATACCCGAGATATGTAACCCCGAGAAGATTGCACAAAGGTGGCAAGATATGAAAGGCATGCAAAATATTCTAAGTATAGAACCATGCAGAAGCAAATCAAAAGAAATTAAAAGATTGAAGCATCCATAGAAAAACAGTTGCAGTTATGTATAAAAGAAGGCACTACGGCCTACCAGAAGTAAATTGTTTCGAAGTAACAAAAAAAGGCACATCGGCCATGAAAGGAAGCTTACATTATCCAAAAAACAAAACAAAGTACAAGCGTACAAAAGAAAAGACATGAAAGTGAAGACTTTTCAGCATCAACATCTGGTTGGATCTGAACCTCAGAAGTCTCCTGAAGAGATACCTCGGCTTCCTTATCTGCAGCAATTTCGGCATCAATCTCGGCAAGGGTTTCGTCAATACTCTTGTTGACCTGAGGAACGTCGGACGAACCCTGCTCCGGGGTAGTTTCCTTGGCAACTGCATCACCATCATCATCTTGAGTCAGGTCCAGGACCTGCTCATTCAGAGAAGGAGACTTAGCCCCAACAGCCTCCTTGGATTTTCTTAGTAAACCCTCCTCCTCACCCTCTTCCAAATCTTCAGACTCAGATTCGGATTCCTCTTCAGGATGGCTTGGGGGAGGAGGAGGGAATGGCAGAGGGATATCATTAGCCTTGCGCAATGGCGAGTCATCTGGGATGTTGAGCTTTTTGGCAAGGGCCATCCAACCGAGGGAGAAACCCCTGTTGCATGCCTGCCTAACTTGCAGTTTGTACTCCTCAGTGACGTCGGCCATGCCCTGGGCGTAAGCCTTCTCATCAGCTTCTTTGATTTCGGCTTCTTTAGTGGCCAGAGCCTTCTGAAGCTCCTTCTCAGCTTGGGCCTTTTTTACCTTGGCCTCTCTCTTCTCGGCCTCGGCAATTTTTCTGATGGCCTCAACAGACTCCGCTTTTTCTTCGGCCATCTGTTGGGCCTTAATGGCAGCCTCGGCCTGGTCTTCCAGCTTCTTCATCTTTGTCAGAACAGTTTTGTTCCCCTTTTTCAGGGCAGAAACTTCCCTCTTCATGTCAGCCAATCTTTGCCGATTTTCAAAAGCTTGCATGGAGAGGGAGTGGGCATGTTGGATGGCCTGAAAGAACACAAGGCACAAATTGTTACAAAATTTTACAGATTGAGAGAGAAAACAAATTTCAACACAAAAGGCACTTACTTGGACAGAGCGTTGCAGCATAAAAGCGTAGTTCTCGTACTCACTCATCTTGGCATTCCGCTCAAGATCACCTGGGAGGAGTAGAGCAGTACTGAGGGCCACGCCGACGTTTATGTCTTCGGCACTGTCGCTGGCAAGGACTGGCTTATCTTCTAGAGTGATCTCTGGTCTCCAAGGGACTTTTGGTATTCTGGAACCCGAGGTCGTCGCAGACGATGATCTCGGCCTCTTCGATTGAATGGACTCTGATGGCTGGGCCTCAGCAGACCTCTTGGCAGAAGCAGAAGCATTCTTTTTACTCTCGGCCAATTGTGAGATGGGCAGAGCATCCTCAGCCTCAACCTCAGTGGCTTTGGCCTTGGGCTGAGCCTTTTTGATTCTTTTTGGCTTTGGTGGGGGCATGGATTGAGTTGGAATAGCATCAACGTCGGCAGGTAGGTCGGCTAAGAGATCTACAGCAACAGGCGTCGGGCGACCCATCTCAGCAGTTTTGACAAGTCATCGCCGACGTTTTCTTTCTGGTATTGGGATTAAGTATGGGGCTGAAGTAGATGGCAGATCAACTGGGTCAGAAGTGGATCCTTCGTCTGCTCGTGATGTGGAAGCAGTGGGAAGAGTTGTGGCAGAAGGTGGAGAAAGACTCTTCTTCTTTTTCTTCGGGACGTCGGGCAGTGTAGACTTGTACGTCGGAATAAAATTCAGTAACAGTGGAGCCTTGCGCTTTTGGATTGGCAAATCTAGGAGCTTCTTTAAATCTTTTCCTGGAAAGAAGGATTGGCGGAAGTTTTTTGGTGGCTGATGAAGATCTGTAGGACAAACAAACATACATTAGAAACAGACAAAGTTTTGAAGACTTGAAAAAGAAACAACTAAGTATTGACGCTGGGCTCTTACCCTTGCCCTCTTTAATTGTTCGAGGAAGAGGGTAGAGGTGAACATCTTCGTCTGGGCCAAATTCCCAACTTCCCGAAGCAATGACATAGTCATCCTCGGCTCCCTTGTTGGAGTCTGGGAGGTCGGCTACAATTTTGAATTCAGTAGACCTCGGCTTGAGGTAGTAGACGTAACCTTTTTCCTTCAGGTTAAGGGGGCACATGGTTAACAATATTGGATATCGGCAAGGGTCATCCTAACGTTCTCCTGCCTAGCTAGGACTATGATACCATTAATCACTCGATAGGAGTTGATGGTAAGTTGCATGGGGTTCAACCTATAGTAGTGGAGAACTTCGCGAAAAAGGGGATTAAGTGGAAGCCGGAGTCCACATTCAATAAAGGCTACAATAGGAAAGGGCATCGTATTGTCTGTAGGCATAATGGAATCGTCATCCCCAGCTAGCCTAAGGTGAATATCGGCTGGAATGGAGAACTCCTGCCTAAAGTACTCAAATTTGGTCGGGGTATCTACCCTATGTCTCCACATACCCATAACGTCAGCCTAAAGTCAGAGGGCTAGGTTTCAGAAAGAAGGTGCTCTTAAAGGGTTGTTGGAACCTCGGCAAAGCCCTAGGTAAGGACTGATAAGGCTTGTTTCAGTTTTCCCTAAAAATTGAAGGTTCTATAGACAAATCCCAAACCTAAATCTACGAAGGCAAAGATTGAAAGCAAGAATTAAAAAGCAGAGATCTGGAAAGGAAAAACAGAAAACAAGAAACAAAGAACGACGTTTCAGAAACAAAGAACAGAGGTATGGTTTTTAAAAGTGACAGAAATACAGAAGTAAAAGGTCAAGAACAATGGCAAGAAAAGTATTAAACAGTACAAAGTGTTCAAGATATGAGTAAAATCATGGAATAGAC